TCTTTGCCAAGGAAACCCCAAATGGGGTCACAAAGAGTTAGACACGACTGAAAATAACTCACAACAACAAATGCTTATCAATTGACTGGCTTGGGTTGGGCATGGAGGACCCTCAAACTCCCTAAAGCCCCAGGAACCTTTCCTGTCCTGTTCCTTTGCCCTCCTCCTATCTTCCAATGATCATGTGGTAATGGAAAGGACCTTGGGCTAAGGCAGGACATGAGGGGTTCTAGTCCCAGCTCTTCAGTTTACTTGCTGTGTGACCTTCAGCAAATCACTTCCTTTCTCTGGGCCTCAATGTCTTTCTCTCTGAAATCACTGGGGGAGGGGGAAACTGGATTTTTAATACCCTCTGAGGCACCTTTAGATTCTCAGGAGAAGTCCTCCTGATCCTCCAAAAGAGCAGCTCAGATGCCACTTCCTCCCAGAGATCTTTGCTCTTCCTTTTCTCCCATCTCCTGCTGCGTGCACCTGGAGTCCCCTTCTTTCACTGACAACAGCCTGATGAAGTGGCAGGTAGGCATTCCCTGTCCTGGTGGGGTGGGGGGAAGGGGCATTATGGGGAGCAGATTCTACCTGGGCAGGTGGGAGGCTCATGGGTCTCAGTGAAGCCAAATCCTGAGAGTAGAAGCAAGAGCAGGCTTCCTTGCAATGGCAGCTCCATCTTCTCTGCACTCATGGACCAGGCTGGGGTAGAGGCCCTCACTTATAGACTGTGGGGCGAACAGAGATGTAAATGGGAGCTTCCCCTCATTGTTCCCACACAGTGTCCCACCCTTGCCTTGGAGCCATGAGGCCAGGAGCAGAGTGGCCATTCCCCCTACCCTTGTACCCTGAGAAGGAACAAAGTGTACCTTCCCCTCATCCTAAACCCTGGAGCTTTGCCAATTTTCTTCCTATCTATTGAATATGCCAGGACTCCTCAAACTCTTCCTCAGACTTCCAGTAAGGAGGGAGGAGGGTAAAGGATATCTGCTCCCTGCCCAAGGCTGGCCAGCTGTGGAGGCTGCTTATACGTGGCATCCTGAGCAGAGCTCATCTAGAAGAGCCTGAGGCTGGACTTGAGGGCCCCACCTGCCTCCTCTGGCTTGTGTGTCTTTCCCTTAGCACAGGTGATTGAATGATGAGCTTGAGATGTACTTGGTCTGGGTGGCAGCCTCCTGAGTTCAAGAGGTCAGGAGCTCCTGGCTTTGGGTGCTGGTTGCCTGGCAGGTTGTGACCTCCCCAAGCACTTTGCAGAGGGGAAGATGACTATGGCTAGGAGGACGTTACAGCTGAAGGACAAAGAAAATGCTGGCTACCATCAGACCACTTCTCTCTTGGACCACAGACAGTACCCTGAAGGGCTTAACCATGCTCTGGAATGTCTGCCCTGGGACTTAGGCTGTCTTGATTGGGAGGACCCTGGAATCAGAAAAGCCTGGCCCTGATCCTTTCTGCCTAGGTGACCTTGGGCAAATCCCTTCACCTTTCTGGTCTCCTACTGTCCTTGCCTGCAAAATGAGGGGCTCAGATTGGTTGCCCTAAGTTCTCCTCCAGCTCAAAATCAATATAATTTTCTTTGTTTTTAGCATTCAATTTGTTTTTCAGTTAGGGAAACAGAGATGGAGGAATTAATGCATCTTTCATTTCCTTCAAGGTACCTTAGTTACCTGCTATGGCAGGCCTTTTCTAATGTCCCTAGTTGGTATTGTTCAACAATGCATTCTCTCTCTCTCTCTCTCTCTCTCTCTCTCTCTCTCTCTCCCTCCTCTCTCTCCTCTTTCTTTTTTCTCTTCTCTACCTCCTCTTTCTCTGTCTTCTCTTCTCTTTTCTCTCTCCCCTCTTTTCTTTTTCTCTCTTGTCTCTCCTCTCTCTTCCTCTCTCTCTCTCCTCTTTCTCTCTTTCCTCTCCTCTCTCTCTTCTGTCTCTCTCCTCTGTCTCTTTCTCTCTCCCTTTCTCTCTCCTCTCTTCTCTTTTCTCTTTCTCTCTCCTCTCTCTCTCTCAATGACCTTATGTAAATATTTTGATCCTACCACTGGGCATGTGCCCCAAGGAGGTCAATGACAGAGAAAAAGGTCCATTTTAGATGCCACCCTATGGAACTTGCAGGAGAGGAAATGGGTGCCCCTTGGTTGGGGAATAGCTGACTAAATTGTGGTAAACAGGTATAATCCAACAGTGTAAGAAGTGATAAATAGCAATCATTCAGGGAAACCTGGGAAGCTATATATAGACAATTTATGCAATTATGTAAAGGTGAATAGGCTTGAAAGACTTCAGAATTCTGATCACTGTAAGCCCTCAGAAGACTTGATGGTGAAGGTTGCCTTAGAGATCTCTCTCAAACGGGTGATGGAACACGGGTGTAGAAGAGGGCATACATTTTCTTTCAGATATGGTCAATGGTTGATTTTTTTTTTGCTTGAACAATTTCTAAGTTATTCAATCATAGAAACAACGACAATAAAGGTAGTTAGCATAAGGGCAGGAGTGTTAACCCCTGCCCGATGAACTCTAGCCATGGATTGTAACAATGCACCCAGCATAAAAGATACAAGAATCGGCGCCACCAAAGGCATTACTTGTTACAGGGGAGAGCTCGAATGGGAGGTTGATTGGTCTTGGACGCAACTTGGACACAACAATGAGGTTTTTAAAAAGCATCAAAAACATTTTAAAAATCACTGACAATGGATAGAACACTAGACCTGGAGTCAACAAGCCCTGAGTTCAGATCCAGCCTCAGACACCAGCAGTGTGACCGTAGTTAACCCTTGTGTTTAATGAGGGGGTGAGATGAGGTGACCTGTGAGATTCTTTCCATGAATTATTTCTTGGCCAGTTCATGCACCTGGACTGCAACCCTCGGGCCTTTGGGGAGGGAATTGAAGAGAACTAGAGCTGAGAAGGACAGAAAGAAGAGGGTCTGTCCTAGGAATCAGATATAATTTCCTAAATGAGATCATTGCCCATCCATTCAGCCCCACCAGGGAGACATGTGGCCCTGAAGAGAGCAATGAAGAGAGATGGTAATAGAGCTGAGGAGTTTCTGGGCCAAGCCAGAAGCTTTGGCAACACAACTTGTCAATTTGTACTGCCATCCCAGGTAAACATATTGATGGCCAAGCTCTCTAGGGTGCTCATCCAAACGCCCACCGTAATCTGGACAATAGACATCCTTCATCTGACTGGTCTTTCCGATGTTAATTGGGCAGCTAGGTGCAAAAAGCCCAGGGCCTGAAGTCGGGAAGACTCAATCTTCCTGAGTTTTAATCTGACCTCAGACACTTCCTAACTGTGTGGCCCGGGGCCAGCTACTTACCCTTCTTTGCCTCAGTTTCCTCATCTGGAAAATGAGCTGGAGAAGGAAATGTCAAACCACTTCAGTATCTTTGTTAAAAAAAAAAAAAAGAAATCGTGAAGAGTCAGCACTGAACAACAACTCCCAAGATTGTTTTGAGGATCAAATGAGATACTATTTGTAAAGCATGTAGCACAGCATCTGGCACACAAGAAGGACTTAATTAGCGCTTGTTCTCTCTGTGTGATACTTAATTTTTTTTCCTGTGCGATATTTATTGATACGGGTGTCGTTATTATCCCCATTTTATAGATGAGGAAACTGAGGCAGGCAGAGATGAAGTGACTTGCCCAGGGTCATGTAGCTAATAAGTGTCTGGGGCTGTCTCCCTGAATACGAGTGCTACAGGACTCTCCCCACTGAGTCACCTAGCTGCTTAGAAGAGAATGAAGAAGTACCCGGTGGATATGAGCAGGCTACAACATATAACCGACCAGGGAGGAGTTTCAAAGGCTACAGTCCCTGGTTCTTTGCCTCGGCGTCTGTCCTTCAGTTTTAGACTAGGGAGATTAATCTGGAGGCTACAACCTTGTCGGTTTCAAAGGCTAGGGAGAGTGAGTCACATGAGGTCTGTGACTCTGAGAGTAGAATCCGCACCAGGTTTTGCAGCCAACCCGACACTGATACCTCGATGAGGAGAAGATGATGCTATGTTTGGTTGTGAACTTGGTGGTACCAATGCTATGTAGCTAATGCATTAAATCTGACTAAACTCTTCCTAGAGGTTGAGGTAGTGTAAGGTAAAATGACCCTTGAAGATGCTTGTTCTTCTGTTCTGGCTATGTCTTTGAAATAAATATCCCTTTGTAAAAGCTAATTGATGTTAATTGCTCAAATGGAATCCAAGTGCTAGTCACTGGTAGCTGAGTGGGAAGAATATATCCAAGATGGAATCTTGAGAGAGCAGTAGAGAAGATATCCCCCAATTCCTCAAGGATAAGCCTAGAACTTTGAGGGGGAGATAATGATAATAGTTAGCATTTATGTATCACCTATTATATGCCGGGCACTATGCTAAGCACTTAAAAAATTACCTCATTTGATTCTCACAACTACCCTTCGAGGCAGGTGCTATTATTATGCCCATTTTACAGGTGAGGCAAACTGAGGTTAAGCAACCTGGCCAACATCACACAGCTAGGAAGTATCTGAAGCCAGATTTGAATTCAGGTCTTCCTGACTCCAGGCCTAGATCTCTCTATGAACTTCACCTCAAGGTGCAGCCAACTTCTCTCTGGGAGAGAGAGGTCAAAGTAATAGCTATACATATTAATCCAGAGCTTTAGTCTTCAGCTACAGGAATGGGACTGGATGATGTCTGAGGGCTCTTTTAGTTTAAGATCCTGCAACGCCTTCAGCATCACCAAAAGGTACTTGGGGCACTGAGGGAGCAGCAGCAAATTTCCCTTTGGGCTGTATTCCCGAAGTCTGTGATGTATCACTGTTATCTAACGAGGGTGTTCAATATCTGAGCTGTCCACAAGGTGGCGATATTCTTGGGCCACCAGCCCAATTACCACTTCAGTTCCTCTCCGGCCTTCACATGGTATGACTTCCCAAAAGTTTCACCACTGGCCACCAGAGGGCGCACAGCCTTTAAACTCTTTATCTCTTGCCTTTCCCAAATTCAACCAAAGGGTTGTGCAGCTTCCCCTCCAAAGGTGACACTGGCTGGGCTTTAAGATTTGAAATAGCAGATGATAGGAAATAATGCTTAGAATATTAAAAATGGAAGATTCTGGGTCTAGTCCCCCATCCCCATCTGCAATCTTCTTTCTCAGTTGATCCACCCCAATATTCATAGGACGGGGATTCAACATGATGTGGCTATGTAGTTTATGGAACATTGTGGATATTAATTGACCCTCTCCCTGCTTCTCCAACTACCTCCTGAAACTCTTCCTCCTTGAGTGTCAAGAGAACAGACCCTAACTATTAATCCAGGTTGGGGAAAGAATTAAGGAAGGGATTTCATATCTGGGGCCTTTCTTGGGGTCAATGACTCTACTAAAGGAAAAGCAAGGGATGTATCATCAAAGGGAGCTTTCCCCTTTAGCTCTTAACCCATGGGACTGTCAATAGATGCTAGTTTCTGGCACTCGAGACATGCCTCTTCTATGCTGATCTCTGCCATAAGGGTCTTTAGGTGCCATGGTTATGAGTAGGGCTAAATTGTTCCTTAGGGTTCTTTCTCACCCTCCATCTCTCATGGCCAACAGACAATGCCTAAGGCTGCAGCAGCACACTGAAGTTTTTTTAAGAAGATTTTAAAATAAATTTAAGTTTAAAAGTTATTCAAATAAATTTTATTGACATGTTATTGCATCATTTAAATTTTCCAGTATGGTGAG